CTTCCTGGAGAACATCTATGTGGTTGTTAAGACTTGACATATTAACTTTACGTCACAGAAGATGGTTCCCATCTTCAAAAAAGGCAAAAAAACAGACCCAGAAAACTATAGACCAATCAGCCTAGCATCAATACCCGGGAAGATACTGGAAAAGACAATAAAAAAGCAGATCTGCCAACATCTAGAAACTAGCAGTCAGCATGGGTTTGTTAAAAACAGATCATGCCAAACCAATCTTATTTCATTCTTCAAGAAAGTGACTAAATTAGTAGACCAGCAAAATACTGTGGACATAATATATTTAGATTTCAGCAAGGCATTCGACAAAGTAGGCCACAAACTACTTCTTAGTAAGCTAGAAAAAAGTGGTGGAATAGATAGCACCACCACTAGATGGACTCACAACAGGCTGGCAAACCATACTCAACAAGTAGTCCTTAATCGGTCTAAGTCTACATGGATGGAAGTAAGCAGTGGGGTGCCACAAGGTTCCATCTTAGGCCCAGTACTCTTCAATATCTTCATTAACGACTTAGATGAGGGAATAGAAGGGGAACTTACCAAATTTGCAGATGATACTAAGCTGGCAGGAATAGCTAACACCCAAGAAGATAGGCTCAAGATCCAGATGGATCTTGACAGACTAGAACAGTGGGCCATATCTCACAAAATGAAATTCAATGTAGAGAAAAGTAAAGTCCTACACTTAGGCAAGAAAAACCAAAAGTACACATATAGACTGGATGAAACCAGGCTCAATAGCAGCAACTGTGAGAGGGATCTTGGAGTCTTAGTGGACAACCAATTAAATATGAGCCAGCAGTGTGCAGCAGCAGCCAAAAAAGCTAATGCAATCCTAAATTGTATTAACAGAGAGATACAATCAAGATCAAGGGAAGTACTAATACCACTCTATAAAGCCTTAGTAAGACCACACCTAGAGTACTGCATCCAGTTTTGTTCACCACATTATAAAAAAGATGTTGAGACTCTAGAAAAAGTACAGAGAAAAGCAACCAGGATGATTAGGGGACTGGAGGCTAAAACCTACAACGAACGGTTGCAGGAACTGGGCTTGGCTAGTCTAGTAAAGAGAAGGACCAGGGGAGACATGATAGCGGTCTTCCAATATTTGAGGGGCTGCCACAGGGAGGAAGGGGTCAAGCTATTTGCTAAAGCTCCTGTAGGCCAGACAAGGAATAATGGATGGAAATTGAACAAGGAAAGATTTAACCTGGAAATAAGGAGAAACTTTGTGACAGTGAGAACAATCAACCAATGGAACAGCTTTCCCTTGGAAGTTGTGGGAGAGCCATCACTTGAGACTTTCAAGAAGAGATTGGATTGCCATTTGTCAGAAATGGTGTAAGGTCTCTTGCTTGGGTGGGGGGTTGGTCTAGATGACCTACAAGGTCCCTTCCAACTCTGATTATCTGTTAAATCTGTTAAATGTCCTGTAATAAAGCTAAAAAATCTGGAACATTGAATTCACTTTTCCCAACAGCTAATTCTCATTTATAGAGAGAAACTATTTTCCTGTTAGAAAATGTTATTTAATAATTAATACATCTATTAAAACTGTATGAAAAATGCAAATTATTTGGGGAAAAAAATCAAACTTGCAGATAAATTCAAGCAAATAATTGTCATCCAAGTAATTAAAAATCACAGATTCTTCAGTATTAAAACAGAAGACAATGACCTTTTCCAGTGACAATAATAGCAACTAAAGAGTTATTGGAATAATGAAACTGCAGAGAGGATTGAATAAGTGTCCGTTTGATTGTATGTCATTTTGACCAGAATATGTTTACCACACACATGTTCATGCTCATTCTTCTCTATTTTTTTCCATTTCCCTGAAGCTTCCAACTCTACATAAAATGCTTGGTGCAATTTTTGATTTTTACAGTAATTAAAAAGATTGGCAAAAGCTGTGTTCTCTTAGTTTCACCAGCAAAAATGGCTTATATTATCCTTGAATAGAGGAAAGAACATCTACACTTAGTGCTGACTGAAAACTGTTATAGATTTTTTTTGCATGAAACGGAAAAAGTAATAATCTTATGATTTATGGCAATAAATAAAGCAATAAATAATTTTGTAATTGTACTTACATTTACTGCAGAAAAAAATGGATGCTACTTCTATTTATTTTCATTGTTTCTTTTTGTACTTTTTGTCTTTTTCTCCTTTCTTTTTTTTGTTTGTAAAAATTTTATTTGGGTTTTCACAAAACATAATACAAATAAAATATCTTTTTTTGAGAATAGCATGATCCCAGGTTATCACTTCTCCATACAGACACAAACTCAATTTCATATTCATCTTTGTGTTCTATTCCATATCTTATTACTATTTTAACATTTTCTCCGTAATTTTTCCCCTCCCTTAGTTATCTCAACCTTGTTTTTAATTATCTCATACCTATCTAGATTCAATTATATATCTTTTTCTAAGTTTCAATATCTTTCTAATCATTATATTTATACTTTTGTCTGTCCTGTTTCAATTTCATATTTTCTTTTCTCATTAAACAAATTTTCCCTTGTAGTTACTGATTGGAGTATAACACCTTTGTATATTTTAATTTTGTCCATTCAACTCTTATTTAAACTTCAATTTATGCCTTTCAAATTTTTACATTCAATATAGCACATAATTTCCAATCAAATTTTACTTGGTACATTCTTAAATACACACTATGTTCTTAAAGAGAAAATATATATATAACAATAATAAATAAAATATTTATTCTATTCCAGTTCAGCTCTATCATTGATGTTAGTAACAATCTTTAACATTTTTAATATTTCTTTTCAGTTGAATATCATACTTCCTTAGGAACATTTATAATATTTCCATAATTTTTTTCATATTTCTTTCAAGTTTCTCTTTACTTAAATTTTTATAAATCATTAATAATAATTAAAATGTTCCCATCCTTTGCTAATTTCATTCTCTCATTCTCTTTATTTCATTTATTTATTAACAAATATTCCATTACATTACAATAAGTATTTTATCTATTATTTTAATCACACTTGTTTCATATTTTCTAAGTTTATTTCTATTTCTAATATAACAATACTATCTTATGTACCCTTGCAGAATCCCTCTTTCAATTAAATTTTCACCCATTATCTTTATGTCTTCTAAATAGGCCTTTAATCCTTATATGTTTTCCCTGTTTCTCTATATCTTGTTTCTGTAATTTCTTTTTATAACTTCTTTTCCTTTCCCTCTTCCCCCTCTTCTTCTCCCTCCCCTTTTTGACCCCTTGTCTCTCTAATTCTAATTCTCTCTTCTGTAATCCCCTCTTCTGTTTCTTCCTAATATTGTACTTTTCAAGCTATTCTTTTTTTTGTTTGTTTGTTTTTTCAAGTCTTAAATTTTTCATTCTCTTCCCCCCCTTTCCTTTTTTCTTTTCCCACATAGAATTACTTGGTCATTAAAGATGGATTCTTCTTTGTCCCGCCCTTCTTGTTCTACAGCATTTCTTGTTGTTTCTCATAGTTCAAGATCTCCATTTCTAAAAATTGAAATATGAAGCCAAAAAACCCTCTTCCTTCTTGTGCAACTTCTTTCTGTTTTTTAAGTTCTGTTTTCAGTTCTTCCAAGAGTGATGCCATTTTAAATACTTTTAAACAACCACCCGATTGATTTTAGTCATTTAAGTCCAATAACTAAAAATCCAAAAATCACCAAGTAATCCAAATAATCCAAAGCTCTTTCTTCTTGTTTCTTTTTTCCACTTTCTCTTCCTGGGTCTCTATTATCTTGTTACAAAGTTTCAGTTAAAATGTATCTTTTATGAATCTTGTTGAAGTTTCACTGTAAATTCCCTTTACTTCCAAGCAGTCTCCTCCATTTTTCCAGATCCCACCCTTTTATTTTTTCCTTTTCTCTCCTTTCCTTCTTTTAAAAGTTTTTGAATATCCAAAAGTTTTTGTTATCCCTTTGACACTTTATTTTCAGCTTGAATGCCTATTGATGTCAAAGTGGATTTTTGTCAGTTTCTTACTTAAATATTTTAGCTGTCAATATGAGGAAGAAAAGAAAAAAAGCCCAAATCCTTTCCCTTCCCTCTCTCCTTCGCCACTTCAAAATCTCCTTTGGGAACAATGTTATTCTTTATAGTTCAAATTCCAGGGTACCTTATCTTATTGCTTTTTCAGTTCAACCTGGTCAACCAAAACTTTCTTCCTCCTGCACATTCTTTTCCGGTCGAGTTCTTCTTTGAGGTGGCCATTTCTGACCACCGCTGCAACCACCTTCGGGAAAGGGAGTAATGGCCAGCTGGGAAGTAGAGGTGAGGCTCTCCTCGACCCTGCTGGCAGTCTCCCCCCTCTTCACCACCTCTATGTGGTGTCTTTGCCCTGAATCCAGCTGGCTCAGGGCGCTCCGGTGGTGAGCATGGATCGAAATAGCACACAATCGCGGATTTCGGTCCATCACCAAAGAAGCTCAAACCAGAAGTCTTTTTCTCCTTTCTTTTTTATTTTGTGTTAGTTAGTTTCCATCTTCTTTCCAAACTCTAAATAAAGAGGAGGAAGAGAAAGGAGAGTGAAGTATACCTGTTCTTTATTATGGTATAATATTGAATCCTAATTTGATCCACAGAAAGCATGTAAAACATATTCATAACTTTCAAGGATTTCTATTTTTGTTCCATTTCATTCAGGCTGAATAAGTCATGTCTGGCGAGGTTTTAAACTTGTCCTTATAATTCCTTAAATATTTATCAGCTTGGGTAATTTTAGCAGGAAATAGAAAACTCTACTACCTTGTTTCACAACTATGGAAATGTATGTATTACACAGAAAATTGCTATAAAATTATTTAAATGCTTTTCCTTTTCCAATGTGAGCAATACCAGCAACAAATTAATAAGTTACAGAGAGAGGGAGGGAGGGAGAGGGGGAGGGGGAGGAGCAGGGAGGGAGGGAGGGCAGGAGAGAGAGAGAGAGAAACAATCAAATTTCAAGGTTGCAGAAAACACCATTTCAGCTACAGTACATGCCTTAGTTAGCATGATGTGAATACCAGGATATGCTACAGCTGGTGAACGGACTTCCTTTTGGGAATGGTAAAGTGAGTAACCTCTAATGATGTGTTTCAAATGGTAAGTGAACGGACTTGTAATTGAAGCAACAAGCTTCAGATTTGTACCTCCCTTATGTCTCTTTGTCTTCCAGGCTGTTGATGAATTTTGGAGGAAGGAAGGAGCTTGGAAGAAGGGTTGTTTATTGGCATCAAAGAGCAGATGTGTTTGATGAGCATCTGGGGTGAAATGTGTACAGCTATATATTACATAAAAAATTTCTCCCCTTTATTATTCTCAATTAGTCTTCAGGAAGCAGTGAGTACAATGTCACCAGCTGCTTTCTGTGCAACTTTTTGCCTTCTGCAAAGGGAAATAAAGGTTTGTAGTGGCTGCCACCTAATATTTTATTCTAGCACCCTTAAAGAAATGCTGTTAATTCTGCCTTCTTTTACATTTAAGTCCCTGGATTCTGGCTATTCTTGTTTCTGTTGAATACAAAGATAAATGCATAATATCTGTACCCTTATGTTGCATAAATCAGTGTTCCTCTGCTCTCTTAGTACAAATGTCAATTTATCCTTCTTAAGCAGGGTGATCAGAATTTAAACGGATCCTGTGCTTTTACAATAGTTCAATCCTATTAACATCTACTTAGAAATAAACCCTATGGAGAACAATGGCACTTACTTTTAGGCAAATGTGTTTAAGATTTCTAAAAATGTTAAGATGAGTTTGCCGAAGAGGGCTTTTCAAAGAAATTTGATTGGTATGATGTGATGCTTGAAGGTAATGGCTTAAAGTGGCAGTCTTTGTGATATTGCATATATAGATGTACAGAGATATTATTGTGTTTGTCAAATGAGATATTACGGGAGTGTCCTTGCCAAAGGTCTTGTTAAGAGTTGGAGTATGTAATGCCCCAACAGGGGTACCTATTCTCAGAGGTTCCAGCAACTGATAAAGCACAGGGTTAGGGTTAGGGTTATGTCAAGCTTCATGTGGCTCTGGTCTTGGGGGCTGACCCAGATTGGATCCTACATTATCCTTGGACGTGTATATTTTCTTTCATTCATAAAATAAATTGCAATATGGCTAGGTAGGAAATTCTGGATACTGAAATCCACAAGTCTTAAAGTTGCCAATGCTGGACATCCCTGGTGTACACAAAGCAGAACTGTCTGTTTTCCTTCCAAATTCCAACTGCTCCCAAGTTTTGACTTTGACTTTTTCCTTTACTCTACAGAAATAATAGCAGATGCCAATAATGCCAAGTTAATTTTTTTGCAAATACAAACCATAGCACTTTGTTGAATACCATGAATCCAGCTGTATTCTGAATCAAGAATCTCTACCTCTAATGTACTAGATAAATAGATCTACATAGTGCACGGAGTAGATGGTGGGAAAGAAGCAGTACAGGGCAGAGCTCCTGCATTGCCTGGATTCTTCTAAATTTAATTCTTATTCTCTCTTCCTAATGAATCACAAGTTAGTACAGCTGCAAAAGATGCTTGCTGGATGCTCCAAAGACATGCTGTTGCCATCAGTAAAAATGGCACTGCATGCTACATTCACTTATGTGACATAATACTTTTGATATTATAATCAAAAGTTATTTTCTACCATGGTGTCCCTTTGATGAAACTCTTCTTCCCAGAAATGCAGCCACAATGAAAAATATTGACATGTTCACAATGACCTCATGAAACAAGACCCGTCATTTTGGAAAGCTCATCCTTTCCTATTTGTGGCCCAAGATCCCCAACGTGAGATGTTTCCCTGGCATTTTAAATTTTATCAATCTCTTCTACTAGATTTTTATTTTGTTTTCATGCTATTTTACAATGAACGTTTTAGTGGAATTTTCTGGCTCTATACCATTTTTTAGTTATGTGTATTGTTCATATCCTATTTTTTTCCCATGAAAGATGATGGCCAATAATACCCCAAATCAATTTTGGAGGAGTATCAAAAAGTGAACACTGGTTCTTACTGTGATCAAACTAGGTGAATTTCCTTCTTAGGAGATATAATAATAAAAGTGGAATGAATACCTGGAATGTTACGTGTTTCTTCTATCATAGCTGGTTTTGTCAAAGACAGCTTTGACAATATATTTCACCAACACCTCCAAGGGAAAGTGACAAATTATTTGATAGGCCAGTTTTTGCCATACTGTTACAATAGTTATTTCCATTTGTAAAAGGTCTTTCTGTAATTTGATCAATAAATTTCCTATAAAAAAACATCACAATTTACCCAGAATATGTTTTAATTACCTCACAAGTTGCTTTTCAATAAGGCAATATTTGATTCATCTTGAAACTATACACTCTATCTACAGCAGGGGTTTCCAACCTTGGCCACTTTAAGATTTGTGGACTTCAACTCCCAGAATTCCTCAGCCAGCTTTGCTGAGGAAGCCTTAAAGTTGCCAAGGTTGAAGAACCCTACTCTAGAAGGTATTAAATCTAACCAGAGATGGGCCATGAGGTCCTAAAAATTTATTCTTGCTCTTTGACCTGAAAGTTCTCCCTAGCCCTGTTCATGCTGGCTGGGGAATTCTGGGAGTTGAAGTCCACAAGTGTTAAAGTTGCCAAGATTGGAGACCCCTGATCTACAGGTCACTGAAAATAAGTTAGAAGTGAGAGTTGGTAGCTTTCTGTAGTTAGAATTTTAGATGAATTATAACCAAGGCTAATTAACTAACTTTAGTCCAGTATTGTGCAGTTGGATGTTTAACAGTGTTGAATTATTTAATTCTTTCCTATATTACAGATCATTTAACTTTTCAGGATCTCAATAACAAGAAAAGAACCACTAGTGGTTGAATAAGCTACAATGAACTATGATGTAATGAGAAAAATAATGTAGTCTTGATAATCAATAATGTTCAATGATTAATTATATATAAAATATTGCCATATTTTAGTGTAAACTTAAAAATTAGTAATTGTGGACATTGGATTATTCATATTCCAGTAGTAATTTATTTACTTCAGATTATTTTCTGCTGCAACAAAATTTAATGAAACTTAACAAAAATTGCAGTTAACCTGCTGTTAATGGCTTCAGTTCATATTAGTAACTTCAGGATATAATTAAGTGGGTTTATAATGGTTTTCTCTTTAATATTGGAGATTTTCTTTTTAATAGAAGATGGTGGATTTACATGATTCCAACCCAAATAAATTTGCAGTTACTATATGTATCTACAGAAGAATATTCAGACAGCGAAGAGCTTCATATAAGTAATAGCAATGGAATTAATATTAAAAAATAAATAGTCAATAAAACTCTGGTTCTCATGATCAGCAACTGTATGATTTTAGAAACTAGAGACTAGAGTGGGCTAAAGATTCTAAGTAGAAGGGAAAAAATACAGGCCAGCTTTGGGTATTGGTTTACTGGGACAATATCAATAGTGTCAGTAATTATGTCAATTCTCCGAATCGATTATGTCCAAAAGATGTCAATGAGGCAATGACAGGTGTGCAGCAAATTTTGTCTGACAAGACAGAGAAAGTACCAAAAGTGGAACTACAAATGATTGGCCAAGAGAATGATTTGGAAACAGATGCTTTATTGGATATACAAGAGAAACTGGCTGAAGTTTTATACATTAAAGGAGAAATACAAATGACAAATCAAGAGAATGGTTTGGGAAATATTCTCTTATCTGATATATAAAAGACTTGTTAACCTCTCAAAGAATACTGTGCAATGGGATAAAAAGAACTGAAGAGAAATAAAATCCTACTGACAATATTTGAATGAACTAAAGATTAAGACTTTACTTAAAGAGATTTATAACCTGTTAGAAGTAAAAGGAAGAAGTGCAGAGTTGATTTATCTGATCAAGGTTAAAATAAGACATTTATTTGCAAAGTTCTGGCAACCCTTTACAGGCTTTTTGCTGAAACCATGATTAAAAAGTTGATGTTTTATGGATTTGCTCATAGATACAGAATGGGATATGGAATGAAAAGGTATTTGTTTGTAACCCTACATGGAGTGACGAATTTCTCTACACTTGTTGCAATAAAATTGGAAATCACTTTGTTACATATTTCTTATCTTTTTCTTTATCATATTGTTTTCTTTCTTTCTCTATTCGTCCCAAAGCAGTGGACAAAAATAATTAAAACCCATACAGTCTGTCTCTTCCTCTCTCCCTCCCAATTCCATTTATTTTATTTTATTTTATTTTTATTATTTGCTCAATTTTAGTTTTGCATAGTCCAAGTGATCAGAAAATAATTACAATATACTGAAATCATTCTCAAAATGTCAAGGAAAATATAATGAATATATTGTGCAAAATGATCTAATACTATTGCAGAATAATTTCTTCGACTAAACTTTTTTTTTCCCTCTGGGAAAATCCATATGTTTTTTCTTATTTTGCAACTTTCAGATATCTGAATATATAAATCTTATAAAATGAACATTAGCATATCTAATAGTCTTCCCGAGAAGAAATAAATTCTCTTTTAAGTGAAGATGAATTATTCAAAGAAAGATTAATTTGCAATATATATATATCTACCTATATTGTATCTTTTAGTTTAATAAATATTAAACTATTAATAAATATTGCCTAAAAAATCATGTTTTAATTTGTCAAAAATCAACCTACTCTCCATTTTTCAGTTTCAGCTAAAAAGGAAACTTTTTCCCATGCTTACATTTCAGGATTATGGAAAAAGTACTCCAGAGACATAATTTTTTATCAGTTTTGAAATGGATAAATCATTTATCCTCGCAGAAAAAGCAGCGAGAGGAGACAAATACTTTATTCTTCTTTTCAGTTAATGGAAGATTCAGGAAGATGATGAAGAGGAAGAGGGAAAAAATGGCACAGAATTAAAAAAAAAAGGTAACTGGCACAATGACAATCTCTGTTTTTCTCCCTTCTTTGTTCCTGGTGCTAGTCTGAATCAAACAAAATATGTGCTAGTTGAAAGCATGAATATGATTCAGATCTACCATCTGAACTAACGTAGACTAGAGCCCCTCAGAAGTTCAAATATTTGTTTGAACTTCTGGAGAACATTTTTTTCAGGTAAAGAAATTGGGTAAACAACTTCTCTAAAAGTCTCCAGGGGAGACTATTTCTGATTATGTTTTCCAATAGCATATGGAAAGTTTCTGTTGCTGGCTTGGAAAGGAGGTGGGGATGCAGCAAGATTGTTTAAAATGAATCTTATATTTCAGCCATTGGTGAAATCATAACCAAGGGGGGTAAAAGAAAGGCCAAGTATGATAAACCTTTTTATCTTTCATTTTCTCTGCCATTCCCACTTGACCTTTTATCATTCTGCTATCAGATTTTGGCATCTTCCTGTGAAAGATCACGCCACAGAAATAGATGGGACTGAGAGTTAGAAGGCGAGCCCACTGGCTTCTTATCCTGTAATCTAAAACTCAGGCCAAGGGGCAAGACACTTGGGAAGAAAGGTTTCAAATTGAATGAACCCTTCTTAGTGAACTCATTATAAATGAGGGTTGGAAATTCCACTCTCAGTTCCAAGATTTTGTATTCTTTTTTTCAGAAAGAGAAGGAGGAAAAGGAGGAGGAGGAGGACTAAGAGGAAAGAGATCATATCATGAGTGGATTGAAAAACGGCCAAAAAGAATACTAGGCTCAAGGTCAAATATTAAAAGGTCTAAAACGATCTTAGCCTGTGGATACACTTGGAGATGACAAGAAGACAAAAACAAGTCTCTGACAAGACTAGAGAGATGGTTCTTAAGGAAAAGTGGCAATTTCTGCACATATATAAACTTGTAGCCAGGAGACACAGGAATGTTATCCACTTGCGCATGCCCTTAAATTTCTGCTCCTTTGAAGGCAGTCCTTGGGCCTTTTGTGGTACATGTAAGTGTCAGGTGGCAGATTCAGAATAATGTCAGGTGGTGCTCCATTCAAAATTCAAGAAAGAAAAACTTAGACTCTTTAGATTAGAGCAAAGATGTCTTTTACTGAAAATGAAGTGGTAACATCAGTAGAATTCTGAATCTGAGAAATTAAGCGCGCAGATCACATATACAAAGTGTTGGAAACATTCCCACCTCTCATAGTTCAAATGATTCTTCCAATTAAAAGTTGTGAATATGATCATGTGGGCATCTTCAGGTGGTGATGAGGCCTCTGTCCGTTGACCTTGGCATATTTTGATAAAGATTTGCAGCTGCGTAGAGAAAAGAAAGCTAAGCGAGAAATAGAAACTTAAGAGCAGGAATTTATACTCCCCCCTCTCCTCATTTACACCACACAAGAATGTAACACCCCCAGCTCTCTTCCCAGACGTTATCCCCACTCCTCCCCCCGTTACTTATGGCAGCCAAAAGATGCAAAGCAGTAGTAGAAGATCTTGAATGCTGACAGTAAGCATGATCATCTTTAAACACTATTTCCACATTGGAGGTGTCGATCTTGTGAGTTGTAGGACAGATGAAAACTCTTTTTCAGCCCATTTTCTTTCAGTTGTGCTTTTGGCCAGAAATCTACAAGCTTAAATCACTCTACTATTGGATGTGAGGGCTCTTAGGATGGATCATAGGCATAACAAGAATAAGGGCTAAAGCAGTGCTAAAAATAAGGTAGACCTTAGGTTGAGTTTATCAGTCCCGAGGGGGTAAGAATTGACATGGGGTGGCTATGAGGGCTTTGTGGAGGCATCAACTATTCACTCACTTTTTTTTTTTTTTTTTACATTTTACTTTTCAGTTTACACTCCATGTACCATTTTGCTCAGGGACAGAAGTATCCACTTCTATGATTGCTTTGGTGTTATTTTATGGCTCAGAAATATTTCCACAAAACTTTGCATTCAACAGTTTGAAGATACATTGCTTGCCACATCTTACTTCTGTGCTACAGATTGCTCTCCCAGAAAAAAAAAATACTTGAAACCTATAAATATGTTTTGTCTTATGGTCTTTGTAAGAGAATAGTACATGGGTGAGAGAGCTAGAGACATAAATAATCCTACTTTTTAAATTTGGGTAGCCATCTATTATTTGCTGCTTGTTACTTATCCCATCTATGTCAGTGTGCATAAATTGCCATTAGAGAAACTTCCCTTTCTCATTCTTGTAATAAGATTGTTAATTAGAGAGAAATTAATGGCATGTCCCTTATACATTTCCTGTCTTAATAAACCTCTCTTTCAACTTTATCATGTTGCTATATATCACATACCATGATGTGCGTCATGACTACTTGTTATAATGCAGTTATTGCTCCAGATTATTTTTCCTTCTGTTCAATTATGTTACTTCCTGGAGTCTATTTGGACATGTTTCTGCAGATTTCTTGGCAGATTTCTTTTCCTTCCTAACGCTGAGAGAAAGTGACTGGCCCCAGGTTACCCAGCTGGCTTGCCCAAGGCAGGACTAGAACTCATGGCCTCCTACTTTCTAGTCTGATGCCTTAACCACTACAACAGGGGTGTCAAACTCAAGGCCCATGAGCTGAATATAGCACACAGGGTACTTAAATGTGGCCCACAGGGCTGGCCTAAAGATAACAAAGGAACAGCCTGCAGTGACTGTAGTAGCCAAAACGGGGCATGGGAGGCCATGCGTGCCTCCCCACACCTTATTTTTGGCCTGGATCGTCTCCTGCAGCATTTTACCAGCCAAAACAGGGCACAGGTGGACCACACAACCAACCCACACCCAGTTTTCAGCCTGGATGGCTTCCTGCAGCATTGTGCTGGCCCAAATGGGGCATGGGGGAGCTGTGCATGGCTCCCTGCACCCCGTTTTGGCAAGCAGAGTGCTGCAGAAAGCTGTCCAGGCCAAAAATGGGTACATAGGGATTGCATGTTGGCCCCCGAAACCCCATTTTGGCAGGCAGGATGCTTCAGGAGGCATCTATTCCATTTTGCCCCACATGGCCAGCTCACAGAGGAGAACCACAGTGCTGATCCATCCCTCAAAGAAATCCTGTTTGACACCCCTGCACTACAACAAGCCTATGACTAGAGTTCAGAGGAGTTGATAAATCAGACTCTTGGTGCATGGAATATGGAGCCTGATTTCCTCCAGTATTGAAGAAAAAGGAAAAAAATGCAATATAATAGAATACTTGCTTTTTAGGCATTATTAAAAATGCTTGCAATGAAGGTTAGTGAGATAAGAAACCTATTATTATTATTATTATTATTATTATTATTATTATTATTATTATTATTATTATTATTATTATTATTATTATTAATTATTATTACATTCAACATGAAACTCAATCAACTAAACATTTTAAAATGTATCACAAATATCATTGACTGGCGCCGATAGTTGATACGGATGGTTGTCAACATCCTGGGTACCTTCTTAAGATGTATGATGTTCCGAACCTTCTTAAGAAGGACCTTCTTAAGATGTATGATGTTCCGAATAGCACAGATTTTTGCAGTTCCACTGGTGTTATTGCAAGAAGCTGCAATTTCTTGATGTATTTTGTAAAATTCTTGGTGATGAGCATGGGTATCACTGTTACATGCTTCATTCATAATCACGTAGTTTCGATGGCCAGGTTGTGACATTTTGTGATTTTTTTTCCAGCTCTTTTTCTTAGACTCTGGAGTCAATAAATTGTATGCTTCGATTTTCAACATCTGTGATATCTGTCATGTTGTGTTCCCAATGATAATTCGTCTGTATTTCTATTATTATTATTATTATTATTATTATTATTATTATTATTATTATTA